CTATTTTTTTATGTGGAAGAAAGAGATGTATTTATAGGGATTTTTAGGGTTTTGTACTAATTTTCTTTTGGCCTCTCATTTACCTCTTGATTCTACCTCAATTTTTAGCCTTTTCTTGTTTTAATTACACCATCAATTTAATTTTTATTGGTCCTCAAACATTTTATGTTCTTTAATTTGTACCTGGATTTTTTCTTTTTTTAATTAAAACTAAGGGATAATCTTAAGAGATTTAAATCCTAAAAATTTATAAAATACCTAAAAATCATTAAAAAAAAAATTCAAGAAATTATAAAAATGCAATTTTTGAATTTTTTAAAAATTTTGTATAAAAATAAAAATTTATTGGAGAGTCAAAATGGGTTATGATAGTCGTCATCTCCGTACAATACTTACAATGCAAAGTCATGAACAACACCACAAAAGAATTCGTGTCTTAATGGGTTCAAATCTAACATATAAGTCTAGTTTTCCTGACGGGATGTAGGTGAAGTTGTCTAGTCTTGAAAGTTTTTCAATTCTCTAAATTGCTTAGATTACCAATAAGGTAACCTTGCCTCTAACGTTATGGAACGAGAGGTATGAGAATGTCATTTTATAATTTTTCATGCATAAGGCTAGTTTTCAATCCAAATGGAGAGTCAAAATGGGTTATGATAGTTATCATATCTTTACAATGCAAAGTCATGAACAACATCATAAAAGAATTCATGTCTTAATGGGTTCAACTTTGACGGATAGAGTCTAGTTTTTCTAATGGGATTCGAGTGAAGTTGTCTAGTCTTAAAAGTTTTTCAAGTCTCTAGATTATCTAGATTACCGAGTGACGTAACCTAGCCTCGAAGCCTTATGCAACGAGAGGTATAAGAATGTCATTTCACAATTTTCCATGCGTAAGGCCAGTTTTCAATCCAAATGGAAGTTTAGATGAGTATTAGTAGACTTTCGTCATACTTACCATTCAAATCTCGGTATCTAAATCCTAAAGGCTTTAGTTCGGGTCCAAAGCTTTAGGAATTTTTCTTTGTGATGTGTGTGTAGCAACATCAAGCATGCATATCCAACTCAATTCATAATATACATAAAAATAAATACGAGTTTTAAATAAATAAAATAAATTACTTAAATTTAAATTAATGATTAATAAATACTTCAAAATAAATGAGTTGAAGATAAATGACAAATATAAATTAAAGAAATAAACTTAAAAAAAGAGACTAAACTTATGGTCTAACTTTTAGTCCTCAATGTAGTTGCCATGTTGTCACTTCTCGACATTAACCTATGGCCTAACTTTGAGTTCTTAGTGTAGTCATCATACTTTCGCTACTTGACATTAAGGAGACTTTCAAAAATTTTGGCTAAGAAAAAAGAATTAAGAAAGTTTTGAAGTCTCCACCTAGTATTGAAGGTAACTAAAAAACCTAAAAATGACACTTGATTCAAAAATTCTAGTTAAGGAGTTGGTTATGATTTTAGAAAGATAACAATCACTCAAAAACATTCTTTTCAAGAAACAATGCCGGGTTTAGTCTAATCCTACAAATATATCCTAAAAATTATGTTTTGGCCAATTTATTTTCCTAAATCTATTTCCAAGTTTATTTATCATCTATATTAATTAATTTTTATTTTTGTGGTATCGTATTAAATTAACTTCGATTCCAAAATTAAGAGTCGCGTTAAGTTATTATCGGATCCAATCACGTCCCGACATAACCGACATGTCAAGAAACAACCTAATTATTTAAATGTGTTTAAACCTATTTGTATTTATCATATCTAATCCTCTTCCTTTTATTTTTTTTATTAATTTTTTATTGAGAGTCGACACTAACCTTAGTACGTATTTAAAATGAATACTCATTAATTTGACTTAAATTTTCTAATTATCCTAAGAAGACATGTTATTTTCTAATTGCAAAATAAATTTGATATGAGATCATCATCAGTCCCTAGAACATAAGAGACTTGATGATCTCACATCTAGCTAAATAAATTTCAACTTAAAAAATTAATAAGTAAAATGAATTATAAGCGAGACATAATAGAAAACACTAATATAAATACCAAAAAAAAATATAAATCCAACAAAAATTTGACAAAAAACTTATTAATATATATGTACACATCTCCTAAAAATTTCATGTCAAAATTAAATAAAAAAATTAAACAAATAAAATTCGAAACAATCCTCACTAATAATTAAAATAATGGCGAGAATTATAAATAAATAGCAAATGAACTCCTAAAATTATGAAATTGGAAACACAAGCTAAGGACAAGTATATGTACGAACTCTAAAAATTTCAACTTTAAATGAAATTGGACATTGGACCAAATCATTAAAATTTGAAGCAACTCACACTCATAATTGAAATAACATTAGAATAATAAATAAATTACAAATAAATAGGAAATGGACTTCTTAATTACAAAATTAGAAAAAAAAAACTAAGGAAAATAATATGTATGAACCCTAAAAATTTCAGACTAAAATAAAATTGAAAACTAGACCAAATAATTAAATTTTAAAACAACTCACATGAAATTTCGGATTAGGGTTTAAAGGATGATTTAGGGGTTTTGTTTGGGATAGTTTTAGGGCTTTTTAGCCAATGGCTTGGGGCTTTATTGGGGCCATTTTGTGGCTATTTTGACGTGGTTTTGAAGGATGGATAATGGTGGCAGCAAAGGGGTTGTATTAGGATGTATGTTCGGACTAATTTTGTATCACATGGAGGTTTATTTTGGTCTTGGGCTCTCATAAAGATTGTAGGTCTAGATGTTTTGTTTTTGTAGAATTTTGAATCATCACAATCTAATGTGTATAGCTCCGGATATGGTCCAAATAATAAACAATATTTTAGATTGTCACGGAATCCGAATTTTTAACCCGACTTTAACGAGATCAAACCATAATGGATTCGGACGTTTAAAATTAATCTAGAAAGCTTACGATGTCTACTTCAAACTTCGACGAGGTGTCTTTTCTATTCTGAATCTCTAAGAATATGAAATTCTAAGATTTTACTCTAAAGGTCAACTACCAGAAGCACAATTTCGAGTTTGGTTTGAGGTGGTTTTTGGCCGAATTTAGGTGGTCATTTTGAAGAAAGAGGATACCGAATTTAGGGATGATTTGAGGGAGGTTTTGGAAGGGATTTGTGTGTTTTAGATTGTGGTGGCCATAGATGATGAGTGAAAGTTTTTTTTCCCCTGTCTTTAAGAAAAGATAAATGACCTCCCTCTAGGGTTTTTCTCCTCTCTCTCTCTTTTTTTTTTTTTTTTTTTTGTGGGAGAAAGAGATGTATTTATAGGGATTTTTAGGGTTTTGGGCTAATTTTGTTTCGATCTCTCATTTTTTTCTTGATTCTACCTCAATCCTTGGCCTTTTCTTCTTTCAATTACAACCTCAAGTTAATTTTTATTGGTTCTCACACATTTTATGTCCTTTAATTTAAGCTCGGATTTTTTCTTTCTCTTTTCAATTTCTTTTTTTTTTCTTTCTTTCTCTTTCTTTTCTTTTTTTAATTAAAATTAGGGGATAATCCTATGAGATTTAAATCCAAAAAAATTATAAAAAATACCTAAAAATCATGAAAAAATCAATAAACTATGCAACATGTAATTTTTAAATTTTTTTTGAAATTTTTTATTAAAAAAAAAATTATTGGGGGATCAAAATGGATTATGACAACGATTAAAGTGTTTTTTTTTAATGTTATTTAGGATTTTAATTGGTGTATAAATATGAGAATAATGTAAAAACCGAATAACCCTAGATTTTAGGATTCATTCTAAGAAATAATCTTTTAGTAATAAATTTTTTTCTTTTTTTAAGAATTTTACCAATATTGGTATTTTGTGGGGTTGACATTACGTATTAGTATTAATTGTATATTATACTTTTTACATTTTATTAAGAATATAACAGTCAATCAAAATTTTTTAATTAGTTTGTATTTTTATATGTAGATAATAAATAAACTTTGAATTCCTAATTTGAATGGTGTTTGGTCTAATTATTGTCATAATGACTAAGTGTTTAAAAGGTAATTATTTACTACAAGAAGTAATCCAATGGTAAAATTTGAGATCTCATCTTCAACAATTTCCAATGTTCTTTTGTGACCATCACAAAATTGAAGGTCTACTTTGAGGTTTAGAGTTTATAGCGTATCCACAAAAAATAATTGAGTTCTGAATTAGTTCCTCAATTATAAAAAGAGAGAATTATTTCTTGTCTTGATTTATCCTCGTTCTTGTCAATTTTGCCCCTTTATTATTAGACACTTTCCCCTCATTCCTTAATTTAACTTTCACTCTCAATCCTAAGTATATCTCTAGAAATCTACTTGTTGAAGATATGAATCAAAATTGAATTCTTTCATCAATTGGTCAAGGATTCTATTATCTTTCATGATTTCAGCAACAGATAATTTCAAATAATTCTATGAATAAGTAATTAATTTTCTTATTTTCCTTTCAGTAAAATCAAATTGCAAGTTTGTTCCTTGTTTTTTTTTTTTAAAAAAAAAAACATAAAGGTGGTATGCCTTCAACTCTAATCATGTTTCTATAAAAGTTTCTTTCTACTGCATATCCTTAGAAATTTTTGAGCACCGTGTTTCATGCAACACATGATGATTGACCGCCATGTAAGAAAATATAGAAGGGCTAGAAATTTCTTTTTGATAACTTGCTAGCAAGGAGAATTTGTTGTCTGAGAAAGAAAACAAAACTGACAGCACACACGTACCTACCATTCCTAGAGAATGACTGAAGGGCAAAGTTAGAATTCAACAACCTTGTGCGCCTTACGCTAGCAAAAAGGAACACTGTTATACGCCGACAATTGCATACGGTTTTCTTTACCTAAGTGTTGTGGAACAGATGTTTTGAGAAATAAGTTAAGATATTGTCCATGTAACTTTCATATACACCAACAATTGCAGTCTGCATACATTTTTCATATACGGTTTTCAGTACATGATGCTCTAACCCCGACTACCAGTGTCTCTTCTTAGACGCTCCAACACTTGTTTTTCACCAATGAGAAGCTCTACCAATCCTTAATTACAAGCGGAAAGAGATAAATTAGGAGAACGAAAATAATTTATTTCGAGGGATTACTATACTTGTCAAGAAAAGAAAATTGATTTTTTTTTTCTTTTGGTAAGCTGAAAAGGAGCGAAAACCAAAGAGTTAGTAAGCAAGCCTCAACATAACACAAGCAGTACTACAACACCAATGTTTACATGCAATTGACCAGCAGGCAGATCATTGGCTTAACAATAGTTGCCACATATCCAGACCAAATGAAGGGATTTTGCATAAAGTAAATCAAAAGAAGAGATTCGTTATCACCATTTGTATAATCACGACAATCATGATGGCCAACCCTCAAATCCATTCTCCAGTTGCTGTTAAATTTAGTTGCAACATCTACAGCATCTGACTTTGAGGATCCTACAAACCAACATTTGCTTCTCGGTAGCTTTGACAAATTTCGCACTAGAACAACTCCTAAAAAAAAAAAAAAAAAAAAAAAGAGTATAAAACATCATATTTGGAAGTGACAGAGAACTTTGTTCAATAATGTGGACGACCAAAATCATAATACTATATAGCTTGTACTAGATATCATATAGTCCTAGCTAAAAAATGATATTAAGTTAATCTTTCATGTTGAAATGACTAAAATTGTGAATGCATCTGTGAAGAAATAACCTAGATTATGATGAGCATAAGGAAATGAATTTTGTAATATTGTTCACAGTAAGTTTTCATATATTGGGAGCATTACATCATGAACTTTGTTCACTAATTTGGAATGTAATAAAGTCATCTCAGTCTGGTGAAAGCCCTTTCCGTCAAAAAAAAAAAAAAAAAAAAGAAAGAAAGAAAGAAAGAAAAAGAACAAAGAGTCTATGCATGATGCAAACCTGAGAAAACTTAATCAAACAATTGCAACCTCTCACCTGGCACTGCTCCACCGGATAGAACTGCAAGTGCAGTGTAGATATTTTCAGGATCTTTTGGCTGAAAGTCAAAAACAATAGCCTACAATACAGATAATTGAACTTCAGCTTCTATATAATAATGCAATCCCTTGCTACTTTAGCAGAAGAGACATGGTGTGCTGCCTTAATTAGACATGCGTAACAAGAATTTCAATTTCTTTGGGATAACATGTTTTCGCAATTATTTTCATGAAATACAAGAGCTCAGCTTCTTATATGCAATCTCTGTTTTCTGGGTTTAATCTAACTAGCTTAACAATTTGAAAAAAATTAATTAGATTAATCTGAGGTACACGGGTTATTAACAATCGAGAACAAAATTTTCAACAAAAAATAAAAATTCTCATCATACACAAGAATGTTAAGCATATAATGGGGACTAAGAGAAGATGTGAAAGAACGAATTTCAAGGCGCCGAAAACAGAGAAATGATTTGAGGATATTGGATAGGAAAATGAATCAGAAAGTTAAGAACCTGAGAATTTTGTGGAGGTGGTGAATTGGGTTTGATGATAACCATAAAATGCTGCAAATCCCAAAGATTGAGAGAGTAAGTAGTTGACATGAGCAGCTGAGCGGGTCCTTTTGTGGCTCTCAGTGGCGTCGCTGCCACGTACACTTCATCTTTGCCCCCTGTTAGTACTGTAGCTTTAGCTGCTAAAGCAGTCATGTTTTTCTTGCAGAAGAACACGAACCATTACCAGAACTCTTTCCTTTTAGGGCCGTGATAGAATGACGTAAGAAACCATGGCAGATATGATATGAGTAAATTATAAATTAGTCCCTCTAGTTTTTTTTAAAGGAATTAAATAGTTTTTCTGCTTACAATAAATTTAATTAATCCTTATATTTTCAAATCTATTTGTAATTTAATCATTTTTATTATTTTTCATTTTTTCAATATAAAAAATAAAAAAACGAGAATGTGAAGAGAAATTTTTTTGAAATAAAATAATATTAAATTAATTATTATCAACATTGGTTAAAATTAAATAATTAGTTATTTAATTCATTTTGCAAAATTAGAGATTAATTAATAATCTACTCCATATGATATTGAATACATGGCTAATAGAAAAAATAAGAGTAAATCATTTATTTAATCCCTATATTTTTTATATAAAAAAATTAATTAGTCATTCCCTCCAATTAAAAAGTCTAATATCACATCTCTTTGATTTTATTTCCTTTATAACTTAATCATTAGCTTAAAAAGGCGCTCAGTCACTCATCAATTTAGTTATTTTTCTTTCCAAAATACCTTTCTCATTATATATTAATTGAAAGTAATGTAGGAGTTGTATGATAGTTTTCAAAAAAAATCTAATATTGCTTTTAAAGAATTAACAATAGTAGACCATTGAAATACTAAGTTGTGCTTTCTGAAACTAAATAGAGGAAGTTATTATGTGGTTAAAAACACATAGACTGAATTATTTTTACTCTCTCTCTCTCTTTTTCAGAAATGAATCCAATACATATATTTACATATATAACAACCACAACAAAACACATGATTTGTTAGGGGAAATTAGCGATGGTCTAAAAACCATCGCTGATTTACTAAAATTACAACGGTTTGAAGCACTTTAGCGAAGGTATTTACAATCGTCGTAAAATTTTTCCTAAATGACCTTTTTCGATTTTTAACAAACCGTCACTAAGTGACCAGAAACATTAGCGACGGTATAGAAAAACTATTGCTAAGTGAAATTTTTTTGGTTTGTATAACGTTTTTTGTGATGGTTTTTTAACCGTCGCTAATCCATTTTCAAAAAAAAAAATTCTCCAACTTTTTTTGCGACGGTTTTTTACAAAAAACCATTGCAAAATTGGTAAATTAGCGATGGTCTAAAAGCTCGTCACTAAACCGTCACTAAAAAAACAGTCAGTTGGAGGGAAATGGCCATTTTTCAACTTTTTCGGACATTTAGTGACGGTTTTTAGACCCTCGCTAAAACTTTCAACCCCTATATAACAATGTGCCCGAAAATTTGCAAAAAAAAAAAAGTTCTTCTCTCTTGCTTCTCCAGCGTTGATCTCCTTTGTTTTTCCATTAAATCATCCCCCTCTCTTTTATTTTCTTTCCAATCTCCTCCTCTCTCTCTCTCTTTCCCTTTCTCCCCTCCATCTCTCCCCCTTTCTTCCTCTTTTTCCTCTTTCCTTTTTCCTTACTCCCCTTCCTCAATCGGTCATTTTTCGACTAGAATAGTCCAGTGAAGCCCCTCCACCGGCGTAGCCCACTCTCCTTCTTATGTTGGTGAAAGGTCCTCCCTTATCTAACCCCTTCATTAATTTTTTAATTTTTTAATTTTTTTCAATTATTTACTTAATTTAATTTTACATTTTTTATTTATTTAATTTTTATTGTTAATTGTGTTATTGTTATTGTTAATTGTTAATTTAGTTAATTTATTATTAATTGTTAAGAAAAATTTAATTGTTATTAATTTTTGTTAATTATGAGAGTTAAATTGTTTAATTGTTAACTTTATTGTTAAGAAAATTTAATTGTTAATAATTTTTGTTGTTAATTTAATTGTTATTGATATTAGTTTAATTGTTAATTGGTAATTGTTAATTGTTAATTTAGTTAGTTTATTGTTAAATATTATTTATTAATTTAGTTAGTTTAATTGATAGTATTTTGGAAAGTTAATTATTTTAGAAAATTGTTAATAAGTTATTAGAAATATTTTAACTTTTTATTAATTACAAAAATAATTATTAATTAAAAAATTAATAATTTTCAAAATTATATTTATTAATTAAAAAAATCAATTAGTAATTAAGTTTATTTAGTTTTTGATTAAGTAAATGAGTTAGGTGATTAAAAAATTAATTAATTTTGAAATTTTATTCAATAATTAAAAAATTAATTAGTAATTAAGTTTATTTAGTTGTTGATTAAGTAAAGGAGTTAATTAATTACAAAATTGAGTAGTGATTAAAAAATTAATTTTTTTTGTAAATTATATTTTGTAATTAAAAAATTAATTAGTAATTAAGTTTGTTTAGTTGTGATTAAAAATATATTTTGATCCAAGTAAAGGAGTTAATTAATTATAAAATTAAGTAGTGATTAAAAAATTAATTTTTTTGTAAATTATTTTTACTTATTAAAATTAAGTTTATTTAGTTATTGATTAAGTAAAGGAGTTAAGAAATTATAAAATTAATTAGTAATTAAAAAATTATATTTTTTTGAAATTTTATATAGTCAATAAAAAATTAATTAGTAGTTAAGTTTATTTAGTTGTTGATTAAATAAAGGATTTAATAAGAAAATTTATAATTTGTGTTTAAAATAATAAATTACTATGTAATTAATTTAGTTAATAAGTAAATTACTTGGTGCTTAATTTAGTTAATAAGTCCATATTATATACGTAAATTAGTTGTTGATTGATACAAGGTAATTCATTTACTAAGTTCATTTACTAATTAAGTTATTATAAATATTTTTAATTTTTAGTAATCGAAAAATTAATTTATTTTAAAATGAATTCAAATTGTTTATAGATTGACTTTAGATTAACTGATGGACTATTAAATGAGCGTTTCGTATATGAGGTTAAAGAATTTATTAATTTTGCCATTACTCATCCAGAGTGTATGGATGGAAATAAGATATGACGTCCCTGTAAACTTATAAAATGTCAAAATCATAGTTATGAAAAACCTAATAACGTTAAGTATCATTTGATAAGATATGGTTTTGTATCCGGGTATTATGTGTGGAGTCGTCATGGAGAGAATGATTCGATCATTTATGATGACAATTCGATTAATTATGTTCAGTAAGAATAAATATTTGATGATCCTTAAGTCAATCGATAGCACGGAATGATGATGGATGCAACTAATCCATCATTTAATCTGTCTAACACAAACGAAGATCCAAACCTTGATGTTCAAGCATTTTACAATTTATTAGATGCATCGAATAGAGAAATATGGCTCGATTCGGAAAACCATTCACGTTATCGACGATATCTCGTTATCGACGATGTCTCATTTGTTACATCTCAAGTCCGAACATTATTTCTCGGAGAGGTCTTACAACGACTTATGTCAACTTATGAAAAAGTTGATGCTTGTCGATAACTACAAGCCAGAAGACTTTAACAAGTATAAAAAAAATGGTGAAAATGATGGGATTATCCATTCAAAAGATCCACGATTACATAAATAGTTGCATGATTTATTAGGATGAAGACAATGAGAGAATCACTTGTAAAATCTATGATCATCTTCGATATCGAAACCCTAGGCGAGGATCGATTAGAGAAACATATGTCCCATATAAAAAAATGTATTATTTTTTGCTAACCCCATAATTACAAAGGATGCATGCATCGATCGCCACCGATGTCGATATACGTGGCATGCGCAACATGTATGTGAGCCGGATGTCATACGTCATTGTTCAAACTCCTTCGCATAGCGATATTTTGACCAAACACATCCTTCCTTTACATCGAAATTAGAAATATTAGATTAGGTGTTTACACTAATGGATTTCAACCTTTTGGTAAATTTGGATAATGATATTCTTCATGACTCGTGATTGTAACGCCTTACCATTTGCCATCGTAGAAATATATGAAAGAAGAATATGTGTTCTTAATCGTGATTATCCCAAGTCCAAAAACCCTAAAGTCAATCTAGACGTATACTTATAACCCTTAATCAAAGAATTGATTGAATTGTAGAAGGTAAGTGCCCTTACCTATGATGTGTCCCGTAAGAAGAATTTTCAAATGAAAGCTATTGTCATATGAAAAATTAACGATTTTCCTACATATGTAATGTTGTTGGGTTGGAGTACCGCGAGTAAGACAATAAGCTCATATTGCATGAAAAATTATGATACTTTCAGCCTTTATAACGGTAGAAGGACTTCATGGTTGTTAAAAGCAACGAAAGAGGGCTTCGAAGAGTGTAACAATAATATATCTAGATATTGTAGTTGGGAAAAACATAGAATAATATGGGATCCGCCTTATTAGAGTTCTAATTTAATTCGATATAATTTGGATGTGATGCACATTCAAAAAAATATCTTCAATAATAGGTTTAATACGAGTTATGAGTGTGTTGAGAAAAATAAAAGACAATGCAAATTCTAGATAAGACTTGAAGCTATATTGTCGATGACCCGAATTAGAAATAGATAAAAACTCTAAAAAATACCCAAAAGCTTGTAATACTCTAGACAAATAACAAAAAATATAATTACTTGAATGAATTAAACAACTTAAGTTTTCGGACGGATATGTTTTAAACTTGGCAAGGTGTGTCGATATAAATAACCTCATATTACATGGCATGAAAAGTCATGACTCGTCATGTATTTATGCAGAGGTTAATACTTATCATACTTCATGAAATGTTACCAATAAATGTATTTCAATCACTAACCGAGTTAAGCTTATTCTTTAAGGAATTGACATCTACCGTCATTAAGATCGAAGATATGACCCGCCTTGAGAAAGATATACCTATAATCCTATGCAAATTAGATTGTATATTCTAATCTAGTTTTTTTTTTACTCTATGGAACATCTTCCCATACACTTGGTGTATAAAGCAAAAATAGCAGGACCAATACAATACCGATAGATGTATCTATTTGAAAGGTAAATATTTTTATTATTGTTGATATCC